GGAGAGAGAGAATAAGACGATGGAATGATGCCGACTCGGCTCCGCGTGGCCCGTGGGTGGGAGAGGCAGAGACAAGTCGGGTTCCGGGCCCGGGCCGCGGGCCTGCGTCGGCGCAGCCCAGGAACCCAATTCCTAGGCAGGCCGGGGTCCAAAAGCACCCTCGTCTAGAAGCAAACCGAAACCGACCCGGCCTTCCCCTCTCGCTCTCGCGTCTCTCGGCGGGCGTTCACTCTCCGGCGACGCGAACCTCCCGTCTCCGGCGACCGGCTGCCGCCCCGTCCTCCCTCTCAACCGGCTCGGCGGTGCTCCATAGCTTGCCATGGTGAGTTCCTTTTCCTCCCGCCTCCTTCCTTCAGCCTCGCGCGCCAGTCGCCGCCGAATTTGGTCGGGGCAGCCGCTCGGTCCGTGAATCGGCTGAACTGGAAGCGAAGTTCCCTCTTGCGCGCGAGGTAGTTGGGTTGTACACTGAGGAGTCTTAGATTGGAGAAGTTGGTACATTTCGGACTGTGAATCTTCCTTCCGACACTAGGTTTTCCGTTATCACGCTGCCGGCCATCGTATTTAAGGTGCATTTTGCAGCTTACAGCCATATAATTCAGTTTAGCGTAGCATACGTGCTGCCACGGCAAATCTCAGACTGTCAGTTGCTTGTGGGTCACTGGGTATGCTGCTGGGTGCAGTTGGGGTTTACAGTGCCATGGGGCTGTGTTGGGACTACATTTCCTACGACAAATTTGGAATTGCGCTGACCTTTTCTTATATCTGCAAGCATCTTTATATGCTGTAAATAAATAAATGGATGATGTTTAGCTGATTATTTTCCGTACCGTGCTTAGTCTAAGAAGAGGGGCCTTTCCTTGGAGGAGAAGCGGGAGCAAATGCTTCAAATATTTTACGAGAGTCAAGACTTCTATCTGGTAAGATCTTCTGTGGAGATTTCGTTATACTATTCTACCTCAGTACAGCAAGATTAGCTGTTTGCAGTGACTGCTTTTTGTTCGGAAGCAACAAACTCATGGGTTATTTTCTTTCTGGTGCTAATGTGGAAGTTTTAGCTTGAAGATGTATTGACAGGTCTTTTATGTAGTTTAATTATACTTTGGAAAGTTGGTGATTGAAGCAAGCTAGTGATATGCCAGATGCCAAGCTAATTTCTGCAGTTCATTCCTGTTTTCGCGCTATGTATTGATTTTAAACTATCAAATTGTCACCTCATCTTACATTATGTATTTTCCACAAGAAATCAGTATCTGTTTCCAGCTACTCTTCACCATTAATACCTGAACCTACAACTGTATATATTAGTGCTAGCAGTATGTATAATACTCCAGAGTTTAGGTTAAAGTTGTAGGTTCAATATGCAGATGCAGTGTCATCAATATTACACTGATGGTTAAAGTTTAGGTTAAAGTTGTAGGTTCAATATGCACAATTGCACATGTAGGTTCAATGTACACTGATGGAGTACTATATACAACTATATACCAGTGTCATCGTGCTTTGATGAACTGTTTTCAGTGTACTTAAAGTTTAGGTTTGGATGCTCATGCAGGCATGCCGCCTTTTGGTTTTTGCCTTACAAACACTCATTAATATGTACTCCCTCCGTTCCTAATTACTTGTCGCAAGTATGGACGTATCTAGATGTATTTTAGTTCTAGATACATCCATTTCTGCGACGAGTAATTTGGAACGGAGGGAGTACATAGTTATTTTTTCTCTGTGTAGACTGTTCAATATGTTTTGGTGTTTCATACATCCCTAACTCTCTTTGCCCTTTCAGCTTAAAGAGCTTGAGAAGATGGGTCCTAAAAAAGGAGTGATCAGCCAGTCTGTTAAGGATGTTGTGCAAAGCCTGGTGGATGATGATCTTGTCTTGAGAGACAAAATAGGAACTTCTGTAAGTTCTTCTGCTTATCAGTTATTGTAGAATTTCTGCTTATATGTTTGTGTAGCATGAATGGGAAAAGAATAATTGTCTTCACAATTCCCGGTCATGTAGCTATTTGCATATAGGATATGCATTAAGTTGATCTATCTTTAATTCACAAAAGGTTTATCGACTTATCATGTTCTTCAATGATTTAGTTAAGATACATTCTTCAAGATATTGTGCATGAGTGGAACATACTGTAACTTTGCATATTGTGTGCATCACAAAGAGAGGGCATGCCAATTGTTTGTTTAACTTACATTATCATCCATGTGCCTCTAGTTTCTAGTTTCTGAACTTATTAGTATCCTTGCAGGTGTACTTTTGGAGTCTTCCCAGTTGTGCCGGAAATCAGGTATTTCTATGATAAAGTGAACTCTGCTCTTCTTTCATTGCATAATGTCATTATTAAACTTTGACTTTGCATGTATGTATGGTTGGACTTTCACGACAACCGACAACGCATGATGATACGAATTAAGTCCATCACCTGTAACTTCTTAAGGGCGACTTATAACAGTGGTGCAGAGTAGAAAAATCTCAATAAATTAGTACTCTTTCTAGTATGTTAGAATAGAGATTCAGGCTAATCCTCTTCTTTGAATTTGTTTTTAGCTGAGGACTACCTACAACAAGCTGGAGTCTGACCTTTCAAACTCTAAAAAACGTTACATGGAGCTTCTTGAGCAGAGAGACGACTTGAAAAGAGGCAGGGAAGACACTGTAAGTTGTTCTCCATCTCCTCTATTGAGCTGTGCAAGAAGGATGTAGATCAACTCATGTACATTCCTCTAGGATGAGAGAGAAGACGCTTTGGAGGAGCTGAAGGCTGTAGAGCTACGCCATAAGAAGTTAAAGGTTCATTTACATCTGTTAATCTCTTAATTAGTTCTTATCAGTGCCATGTGCTGCTCAACAAATTCTGTACTCATTTCAGGAAGAACTAGCTGCCTATGCTGATAGTGATCCATCTGCACTAGAGGCGATGAGTATGAGATCCATCATTCCTAATTTTACTGTGGGCGTTGGCACTTGGACATCTATTATTGTTTTGATACATCACTCTGACCGTGTTTCCATGCAAACATCCCATTTCATCTAAGTTCTTGCAGTAAATTACTTTATTCTAAACTGTATGGTGATGATTGCAGAGGACGCTACTGAGGTTGCCCATTCGGCAGCTAACAGATGGACAGGTACTAGTAATTCCACTTGTCAACTTCGTGAGAAGTTCATATGCTTTCGGCTTGCCTATCATCACTTAGGCTAATATCATTTTGAATGAAACTTCAGACAACATCTTCACTTTGCAACAATGGTGTTCAACTACATTCCCGCAAGCAAAAGAACAGCTTGAACACATGTACAAGGAGGTACGTTTTCTGCCCTTGCACTGGTGTCACTGTCATCTACTCCCTCCGTCCCATAATATAAGAGCGTTTTTGACACTAGTGTAGTGTCAAAACGCTCTTATATTATGGGGCGGAGGGAGTGCTATTAATACTCCCTCTGATCCAAAGCAAGTGTCGCAGTTTTGAACTAAGCTTAGTTCAATCTTAATTCAAAGATGTGACACTTACTATGGATCGGAGGGAGTATTAAGTATCACATATTTACAAAGGAATTTGCTCTCAGCCATTGGGTCAGCTGACCCCAATAACCCGATAGCTAACTTTGGATCAGCTCTATAACTATGAGCCAATAAACCATGTCCATCTGTTATTTGTTTTTGCAGCTTATCTCTCCTATAAATAACATAACAAACTTATGACTGCCATCAGGCATAAAAAAGGCTGCGACTAACCCATCTTCATGGACTAGATGTGGCTTGTGTCATGTATCTTTTATCCATGGAGTAGTGGATCTAAGTGAGGAATTGTGTTTATATCCCTCAAAGCCGCTTGCCCACTTAATTGTGAAGGCCCTGTTTGATAGCAAAGTATTTTCTAAGTATTATGAGAATACTACAGTTTTTTAGATTACCATGGTTTTAGTTACAACGAGCTGTTTGGTTGCCACTATAAACTACGGTTTTAATACTGTGGTATTTAGGAAACCATGGTTTTTTCTCTGCATAAAAAAAGAGACCTCTGGACCTCTTTTTTTAAAATGGAGCAGCCGTAAAAAAACGAGGGGACACATCATTATCTCTTCCCCCACTATCCGCAACAATTCCCCTCGCTTTCATGCCGCCATTGCCACCGCCTTGTCGTTTCTGGAGTTCTCCCTCGGCGGCAAAATTGTACGAGGCGTCGCATGGCTTGCCTCTGGTACCTAGAGGCCATGCATGGCATGTTTCCACATGGGGTTGCAATGGATCGCAGCTACCTGGATGCATGGATCTCTGCGTTCTTATGCATGATACGGCCAACCAGGTAGAGCAGCGCTGTTCTTAGGCCGGTCTGTTGCTGGATGCAATGGCTAGCCAGCTAATAGCTAGAAAACAGGCTTGTTTGCAGTGCTAACAGCTAGTGAGCTAATTTTACGTCACTGTACCAAACAGGTCCTCTGTATCACAAATACTCCAAAATACTCTGTTATGTCAAAATTGTGGTATTGTGTACCTACTGACTAAATTACTGTAGTTTTCAATACTTTGGTTTTTATAATACATTGCTATCAAAGCCTTTTTGTCCAGTAGAGCTCCTTCACCGTATGTGTTCAGCTTGATCAATTTAAGTGTTCAAGAAACAGCTTGATCGATTTAAGTGTTCAAGAAACTAAGAGTATAAATGGCATGCCATGCTGCCCGTCATAATCAAATAGGACACCAGAATTCAGAAGCTCCTGCCATCCTTTTACTAGTTTGTGCTTGCTAGGAGATGGAAACATGTGTGTAAAGAATTGAGTGTTTCGAAGGTGAAGATAGAGTAGTTTTGATTGATTGATTCGATTGATGTCACACGTAACAACTACTAATAAAGTTTGAGATTTGGCTTCTTCATCCTGGGGAGAAGCGTGGGCTTGTTTGCACCCTCAGCAATCCATATCACCATGTCCTCGACAAGATGATTTTATTTCAGAAACCGGTTCTGCTTTCTTCTGACGTGTATTGTCGTGAAATTTCAGGTGGGCATAACTGAAGACTTTGAGTATCTGCAGTAAGGCTCAACAGCCTGCATATGCCCTATTGCATCATCGTGTGTAGTCTCCCTCAGCACGTGGTGTTGGATCTAGAGTAGTTCACCCAAAATTGGTGAGAATCACCTGTGCCGTTGGCTATTTAACGTTTGTGCAGATGATGCCATTATCGCACATGTTCTGTTATGTAAAGGTCAGATGCCTTGCGTATCATTGTCGTCAGGAGAGAATGTTCACTACGTTAAAACGGTGCTACAAGATGAATTTGGTACATGCATATAAGAGATTAGCAATCTGACGAGGGAAAGTAGAAGAAGGATCTGAAATAAGAAGAGACTAGAATGACACGTAACTAACACCACCTTGCAAAATGTAGAACGGCACAGGCCTCTCTTATTCTATATGGAGGACGTTTCCGAATAGAAATAGGCCTTCTCTCCAATATTCTTTCACACCCTGGCCGCAAGAATCTGGATTTTGTCTTTTGCGTTGTTGTCATGTTTTGGTTACTAGTTTTCTAAGGCTACGTTAGGAGTAGTATTTTATCTTTTTAGCACAAAATACTGCCTGCTAGAAAAGAAAAAAAAAGCGTTATCCATTGCTGTGACCATTTGAGGCTTAGTATATATATATATATATGAACAAAATTCTGTTATCAAGTTACAAAGGGGGCAAAAAAGGTGGCTAACCACCCATTTTAGCAGTAATTCGCAGTAATACGAAACAAGTACCGGAGCTGTTTTTGGCTTTGACCTCGTTGCCCACCATGAATTACTAGTGCATCAGGAAGATACTGCACGATTTTGCAAGCATTGCAGATAGGCCAAAGACCGTGTCATGCTGGAATTTCTGAACATTCAGCGCTTTGACATTTGTTCTCAGAGAACATTCAGTGTCTCGTGCTGAAAATAACACCAGGCTTAATTATTCATTTCGATCCTCTCCTGTGGGGGCGACTTTCTCTCTGGTCTCCATCAAGTGTTAAAGTGCAAGTTGTCGCATGAGGGGTTAACACGCGAATTTCATTGGTTCTTCCCTTAAAAAAAATGACATGGGAATTTTGTAGTAGTTGAATCTTATAGGAGATTTTCCTATGGTGTCATTTAGACCGTAGGTTGGCAAAAATAAGCCCTCTGGTATGAAAAATAGTGGGAACAGTTAGGGAGTACTCCCTCCGTTCATAAATATAAGATGTTTTTGGATATTTTAATATGGACTACATACGGACTGAAATGAGTGAACGAACACACTAATATATGTCTATATACATCCGATTCAGCACAAAGTTAAAACATCTTATATTTGTGAACGGAGTGAGTAATTTCCTAGCTGTGTGGTAGTTGGTTCATATATAAGCTTAGCCTCATGTCAGTTTTTCCAAAGAGGGCGTGGCTTGGTTTTAGTTCCTTCTCGGTCTCATGAAAAGGAGCACTATCATTGTAAGATTGCAGACAAACTGTACTACAGAGGTTGCTAGCTTGAAACGTACGCCTTCCGTGCAATTCAGCCTATTCATCTGTAGCAACCATACTGAGTACAACCTTGAACCTTGCTTTCATTCAGCCTATTCATATGTTGCAATCTGTACGCCTTCCGTGCAATCCAGCCCATACTCCAGAATAAGGTCGGGAGGGGCTTTTCGTGAAAGCTGGGAACTATGGTATATAATTGTTTGATTGTTCTTCTTTGGATTTTGTAAAAAAAAAAGTCATGTGCCTGCTACTATAAATCCGAGGAAATAACATTTCAGTTTTTGTCCAAATATCTGGAAATGAATATTTATGCGGATTATAAAGTATGTATGAACATGAACATCAAGAGGACTAACTAATGTTTATGATAGTGTATAATTCCTCTACTAATTAATGTGATAATGTCATTTTATCCATAAATCAATATTACAGTATCTTGTTCAATATTTGTACCACTATATTCTTAACCTACTAAGTAATTAAGGACTTATGTAAATTTTCATCTTCCCGCAGATAAAGTTATATATTTCTATAGATTAAACTGGTGCTTAATTGTCGACTCACCTATTTGGTCACTGTCTTTTAATTCCCCACACCTTGTGAAGAATTACTCATGCTTTGGAAAGTATTACCTAATGTTCTTTGTAGAACAAGCTTGATGTGGATGTGGTTGTGGTTGATAAATTGCAAAGGCAACTATGACAAGGATGTGGTCACTATCTAATTAACAAGAATCAGTGATATACTTTTTGCGTCCTGAATCAACTAATGCAGTCTAGTTTCTTATGATGGGGCAACGAAAGAAGTCTATAGGGGTGACTAGATGAAGGAAGACTCACACTGAGCACAAAGAGCTGATAAAGTGGTAAAAGAGCTACACCCTCGAGAGGAATTGATGGGAAATCTGTCATAGCTTTTGTGTGAAGATATACATACAAATTGCGTCCTTGAATTTCAGGTTTAGGTAATTTTTACACACTTGGAAAATCCTAGGAGAGAGAACATAGAACGAAGAAAATATTGAAGTGTCAAAAATGATAGAGTCATTATCTTGGAATATCCATGAATATCCGGTTTTAAACAATGGTGGAATGAGTGTAAAAAATATATACACTCATCAACCTTGTCTTTCTTACACACAATATTTGGATATTTAGACAAGAAAATTACGAATATCTTTGATTTCAGTGTTTTTGAAATAGTTCACCAATGATTATCTCTCAAACCATGTGTATGCTCAAGAGGTAAGGATGATATTCATACAACACCAACAGTATAATATTGAAGTCTTCCTCAAAAGGGCGAAGGATGGGCGGGCAATCATCCACATGTGTTGCACTACAGTTGCGCACATCTTTAAGATTCGCCTTCTGCCTCAGCAATTTTTCATATGAGATCCATCTATGTATTTACCGTATATGATGCCACTTTTCAAAAGTTTTAGTTGTTACATGTGAAGTGCTTCTACGGTACATGATTATTGGTGCTTGCATACTTTGGCACTATGATGTCAATTATATGAAATCATGGTGGGCATTTGCTGCATATGAAATGTGTTGTGTGTTGAATATAAAATTATGGTGAATTTGTTGGATATGGAATGTGAATTTGATTATTGTAACGATTAAATAATGAGCTAAACCTGCTATTCTGGTCATTGCATTTCACAGGGTTGCATATATCAGAGCGCGTGCAATGAACACATGCAACACATACGATTATGACACAGACAATGTGTGCGGCTACAAACCAACACACACGATTTTGACATATATATGACATTGCGTGCGATGGATAAATCAACACCCACATTCCCTACAACAAAATCGTGTGCGATGAATAAAAACACATGGTAGTGCTTCTCCATGCACGTGCGATGAGGTGTACAAACACACACGATTTCTACATTTTTTTTGAAAAGGGGGGACTCCCCGGCCTCTGCATCAGAACGATGCATACGACCATCTTATTAAACAAATAAATAGGTTCCGACAAGGTCTTAATAACTCCAAAAGATAATAAAAAAGAGCTCACACGGAGCCAAAAGGGCTAGAAGACAAACTAACCAAATAAAGGACGCCACAACCAGCTGGCAAAAGAGAGATAGGTAAACTACTTGCCTATCTTATTACATGACCGCCATCCAAACCGGTTGAAGATATCCCGAGCAATCATCTCCCAGCAGATAGATCCAGTAACCAAACGCTCCCTGGCCTCCGTCGGAGTGAGTAGCGACCAAGAACGGATCAACGCCGTGGCTCGGAAAATAACCTGCAAAAAGTGAATGTGTGTTGTCCTGTTAAAAACCAAATCATTTCTGCAATTCCAGAGAGCCCACAACAAGGCACAAACTCCTACGCGAATATGTCTCGCTAACTCGGGCTCTACCCTGTTAAGCCACGTTCCAAATAATGTGCTGACAGAACTCGGTGGAGTAATATTAAAAGCAATATGGACCGTCCGCCATAAAACTTTGGCTAGCGGACAATCAAGAAAAAGGTGTTTGATCGTCTCATCCCGATCACAGAAACTACACCTAGTAGGTCCTGTCCAATTACGCTTTGTTAAGTTGTCCTTGGTTAAAATAACTTGTTTATGGACAAACCACATAAACACTTTGATTTTCAAAGGAACTCTTGTTGGGGGACGTAGTAATTTCAAAAAGGGACATTTACATCTGTGCCCCTAACTCGAACCCACTACTCAGTTTTGCCCCTAGTTTTCGGGTATGCTCAGTTTTGCCCCTCTGCCGTCAGTGCCACTTATAGAAATGCCCCTCCGCTCCGTTTCTGTCCAGTCAAGGCTGTTTGACCGCTAACTTGCCGTCAGTTTGACATATTTGCCCCTCTTTCTTACATGTGGGCCCTCTCTTACCTTTTCGCTTCACTCTCTCTCTCTCTCTCTCTGCTCTTTCTCTCGCTCGACCCTAACCCTAGCTCTCTCCCCCAAATCGCCCCTCACTCGAACCCTAGCGGCTTCGATCCCCACCATGGAAAACTCTAGATCAATGGCGGGCACGGTGGAGATTCGGTGGACCTGACTCTTTATGTGAGCCGTGCTGTGATTCGGAGCCAACCGTTGTGGATGGAGGTCGACGGTGGTTGCGGCGTCGGCGGCGGCCATGAAGGGAGCACAAATCCGAAGGGGTAAGTGCAGTACTTTCAGATTTGAAGCCTGCTATACGTATTGTAGTTCGATTTGATTCCTAGTGTTCATCTGCATTCGTAGTGCTCATTTGGTTCGATTTTTTTTCTGTTTTTCATTGTCATTCGTAGGGTGGACTATATATGTTTGGATTGTAGAATGGAAACAACTCTTCTAGTTCCTGCTGGTACAAAAGCAGGGAACACATGATTTTCATTTCCTTTGGTAGTGGAGAGCACACTGAAGTTTGTGCAGTTTAGATCTCATATCTGTGCTAAATACCCGTGGGGAATACATGATGTAGTTGAATTCAGGTACTGGGATATTGATAGTTCAGTTTGGGTCCCAGTCCAATGTGATGCTGAGTTAGAATTCATGCTAATTTCCCAGTCAAATTGGAAATCAATG